CTAACTCATGTCATTCTCATAATAGAATTGAATTCGATATCTCCGTATTCTCTACCATTGTCGAATCTCAACTCTTCACTCGTAATCCTATTTTATTCTCCACCATGGTTTTCAACTTCTCGAATACCTCGAACATTTTAGATTTCTGTCACACGAAGTAAACCCACATGTTTCTAGAAGCATCATCAATGAAAGTCACGAAATTAGACTTTTGGCTGATATATGAAACTGTAGTTGGCCCTTAGACATCTGTGTGAACTAACTCAAGCTTCTCTTGCTTCGGAATTCTACAATATTTCTTGAAACTCACCCTTTTTAGCTTCCTGAAGATGTAACTCTAGAAATAAGTCTACATCAATTATTAAAGTAGTGGTAGTTTCCCTATAAAATGCATATATTATCCTTTCTGACTCATCCCATAAGCGCTCGCCGTTGTGTAAAGAGTGTTAGTCTTCTTGCCTCCTGTGATGGTCATTGCGCCTTTCGAAACCTTCCCGATATCTCCATTGAAGGTAGTGATATAACCTCCATTTGACAGTTGATCAACAGAGAACATGTTTTTCCTCGAGTTTGGAATGGGTCTCGCGTACTTCAATTTCCATACAGATCCATTTAACTTAGGATATGTTTGAGCCACATTATTTTGGAAAAATGTATTTTGGAATAGTAGATTGATGGAGAATATGCGGTTGAAAGAGAAGGAAAAGTTATTGACGTGATGGAAAATATTATTTTATTGAAGAATGTGTGGTTGAAAATGAGTAGAAGAACGAAAATGAAAATTTTAATGTAGCTCGAACAGAGGCTTAATATGTACTCTATGTCCTTCAATTTCCATACAAATCTATATTTTTTTTTTGAATGGGTAAAATGAATTATATTGATCAAACACCATATACAAATATTCCGGGCATACCCGAGTGAATCAATAATGAAGTTACAATGAAAAAACAACTACTATGGACATACCCAGTAATCAAGCAAAAGAGGATCCAACAAAAGAGAAAATACATCAACACATGTCTAATGACTCATAACAAATCAAAGCATTAGGATACAAAGAGAAAATACATCAACTCATCGCTAATGACTCATAACAAATCAAAACATTATAATACAAAGAGAACATTACTTTTTTTTAAACTTAATATGTACTTGTCCCTTGCTGACCACATCTCAATGTTGATCATCACCGAGATATACATTTCTGAGATCACCAGGTATACAAGTCAAAAAGAGTTATATGCTTTAGGTGAAGTGAAAAGATGCTTTGGAATCTATTACCAAGGATACTGCCTTTCTCTCCAAAAGAGCATATCAAAGCATCGTCTAATCCTTCCGCACAACATCAACCTCTGTCTTTTTCTCCTTTTTCTTTCACAGTTGTTGTACACTGAATTTTTTAGTGTCAAGTCTTACCACAATACCAACATTTAATAGTCTTGAATATTTTGGAGTTCTTTGATTCATGGACCTTGATTTGCCATTCCTGGACTTGGTTCTGCTACGCCCATTTCCTATGTTTAATTTTAGTCTCTGCTCTCCACGTTTGAAGTGACTTTGAAAGTGAGAACACCATCCAACTGTCTTCAGATCTCCAATGTGAACATCATACTCTCAATAAAAACGAACTTCAGTTTGAACTTTCTTTCTGGTACAACAACTAATTGTTGTATTTGTGCCACTCCAACTTTCAGGCATCTGTCCAAGAATCAATAAAGCTCAAACATCATCACCAGAAAGTGATTTCGACCATGTTCAGCTGGCTTGTCATTTCATCAAACTGGTTAAGGTAGGGACAGATGCAGACCTTGAAAGGTAGGGGGCACAATCGAGCTTGCACAAAAGTGGGGAGAAATTTTACAATTGAAAATTTACGTTCAAAAAAATCATACCCCACATAATTTTACATTTGAAAATTTACACGAGATATGACTTTTTCGAATATAAAATTTCGAAAATTTTGATGTCATATTCCATGTAAAATCTCCTAATATAATGATGAAAATTACTTTGAAAATTTTGTATCGCAAAAATAATTAATGTTAATGAAATAATTGATTTTATGACTTTTTCGAATATAAAATTTCTAAAATTTTGATGTCATATTCCATTTAAAATTTCCTAATAAAATGATGAAAATTACATTGAGAATTTTGTATCGCAAAAATAATAAATATTAATGAAATAATTGATTTTTTTATAAAAAAAAAATGCGAGTTAGACATCTTTTTTTAAGACTCACGTTTAACGTATTTTTAACTATTTTCGATATTTGTTTAGACTATTCGATATGCCTATAATATAGTTCTCGAAATAAGTTTTGAGATGACGTAAGCAATTTATAGATTCGATTAGCAAACAATCGTCGGAGAATTTTTTAAATTAGCATGTTATCGAAATTCAAATTTATTATGATTTTGCCCCTATTTGGTGAAGATTAAAATCAATTTTTTAGTAAATTTTGATAAAAGTTAAACAATTATGAATTTCATGAAATATGCTATTAAAATTAATTGTTAATTCTAAAAATTTACATGAGATATTACTTTTTTGGTTTTAAATTGTTGATATTATTTGAAAATTTCCTAATAAAATGAAGAAATTTACATTGAGAATTTTGTATCGCAAAAATAATAAATATTAATGAAATAATTGATTTTTTTATAAAAAAAATGCGAGTTAGACATCTTTTTTTCAAACTCACGTTTAACGTATTTTTAACTATTTTCGATATTTGTTTAGACTATTCGATATGCCCATAATGTAGTTCTCGAAATAAGTTTTGAGATGATGTAAGCAATTTGTAGATTCGATTAACATACAATCGTCGGAAAATTTTTTAAATTAGCATGTTATCGAAATTCAAATTTATTGTGATTTTGCCCCTATTTGGTGAAGATTAAAATCAATTTTTTAGTAAATTTTGATAAAAGTTAAAAATTTATGAATTTCATAAAATATGCTATTAAAATTAATTGTTAAATTTAATTTAGATTAAAATTTAGATTTCAATCGATACCAAACGCGATTTTATAAAAAAAATAAAAATCTCAAATTGGAGGCATGTGCCCCCAGGACCTCCCCAGGTCCGCCCATGGGTTAAAGTGTTCTCCATATCTTCCGCCTTCGGCCATCTTCATATTAACAACTTTTGATTAAATGAACTTTGTTTGTGCAGTACTGTTCATACATACTGGAGAGAGCTGTCATAGGAGACGCTATTATTTTCTCATTTTTTATGTTGAATGGGACTGACTCTCATAGTGCTCATGTCCTTTGGCTTTCCCCCAGGGGTTTGTACATATCTTTCTGGTACAGGTAGCTCATTTGCATTTTCCAAAATTCAAAGTTTTGAATATCTTCTCGTCTAACGCCATTGCAGATTGCACCCACTAAAGCACGAAGTTGGTACAAAAAAATAAATAAATAAATAACAGTATTTTTGGTGTGGTTACGCAACTATCTTATGGTGTTCAAATACTATTTGTTAGAAATTAGGATGCTACTAATTCTGCCATATCAGTAGGACGCAAATAAATTATTTAAATTGTGAAGAACATGAGATACAAAAATAAGCGCAAATACATGATACGTGGATTTAATGTGATTAGACTCCACTGACCCATACCAATACATTTTCCTATATAAACGAAAAAATGAATCATGCTACTATTACAGAAAAATTTCATCTGTAAAAACAACAGATAAGACACATTGGGATGGGCCCCATTTTTTATAATAATATTTTATTCACATGTTGTCCACCCCCATGTGGGTATATGTAAAATTTATAGAACAAATAGTTCTGTACAAGGAGTAAAATCCAAAATAGAAAACTACAAACCATACACTGTACTTTATGTGCTTAAGCAAAGCTTCATTCTTTTGACTCTGCACAATTCGGGAACATCTTTTCACATAGTTCGTCGAAGATTGCATCTACAATTTTTCTTTCCCTTGCAATTTTGCTTGCATGCAATGTGAAAAAACACGTAACCCACAAGGACTGCAAATCTTATATGTGAGCTCCACCATTCATGAACAGTAGCAACTATTTTCTCATTTCATGCAAATGTGAGATCATTCATCGCAACTATGAATTTTGATATTTTACCATTTACAAGAATTCGCCGTGTGAATCTTGCCATCATTATGTCCCTATTATTCGCCATCTTCACTATTCAACATTTTCAATTCAAAGCCATTTACATGAATTAAGGGTAGCCTTCTAAAATGCAAAGAGACGTGAGAAAGTGCAGGTTTGTCCTACAGAATACTAGGGCATCCACTACAGGTATATATAAACTTGATAGAGCATACTGGAAGAATAAGAGACGAGTATACGAGTATAAAACAAAACTATTTTGTTGAGCAGAATACAACGGAAGTGTCAACACTGGAAGGAACAAAAAAATAAATTGATGAGCTATCATTCTGGTAATGTACGATCATAGTACCTCTTGAGATAAGTTTTCTTGACTGACTAGCTAGGATTCTTCCAGAAAGTTGAAGTGAACACGAAAAAATTCACCAGTATTTGCGTTGTCTACACCTTACGGATAGTGTCACCCCAAAAAAAAAAAAAAAACAAAGAAACAAAAGCAAACCTTACGCATCTTTCTATTTGAACAAACTCTGGGAATAAAATCCAATTCCATGCTATGATATTACAAACAGGTTGCTACTCTACAGGATGAATTGTCTCAAAGTGCTTACCACAATGACGACAAGACCAGCAAAACAAATTATTAAAATTTCATGACAGCAACCGGCATAATACACATTACCAATGATACATGCTATAGATGTAGACTTCACAAACTATTTTGGTGGTGCAAATTTCAGTCAACCATTAGCCAATCCTGAGATCTGTAACTGTAGCTTCTTCTCGCCTCACCACTTCACCAAGTAAAAATGAACCTTACCAGATTACAATGTTCAATGTCTGAAACGAAGCATCAAGATGAAGCTCATGCTAAGACATTCCTGTATCCATTTTAGCCAAATGGGTTTCCCCTAGCTGAAGAGAAGTTGTTTGGAGAAGCAGATGCTGGATGTAATCCAGTCAGGTGGTGATTTGGGTATACAAAAGCAGGCCCCTCAAGACCGAAGCCAGGTAACCCTTGTGGTCTGTAAAGGGTCAAATGAATGGGAAATTTAACAAATTATTGTAACAGCTCAAGGAAAAATAATTTTGTGTTTTAAAAGAGAGAACAAAAGCAGATTAAATGTTCAGGAAAAGAAATGCCAGCTGACTAACACCAGAACTTTTGAACTCCAATACATCTGAATCCATCATGGAATGATGAATTATAAAGTAGACTTATAGAAAGAAAAGATGGGACAAAAACTAGGTTACCTTATTGGCATGTTGCCAGGCACTTGTTGGCCCAGATATGAACCTGAATTAATATAAGGCACATGTTAAGACATGTAAAGATAACAATTAAGCGACTAGAATGAATAAAAAGAGATAAATGTTATACTTGGACGGATAGCTGCTGCATAAGATGGTGCCTGAGTAGGAATAGATGATAGATGGCGCGAAGTACCCAGATCTGATGTAGGTGCAATGTTGGGTAATGCGCCTTGTAAGGATGCCATTGAAGGAAACTGCAATACAAGGAAAACAGTTTATTTTTAGCACATATATGAAACTACACTGTAGTCGTTGTTCTAGCTCTGCAGATGCGTCAATGCTTCATTACTGTTAGACAAGATACATGAATCATGTGCATTTAGTAATGAGCAAAAAATTTGAGCATTGATAATAGAAAGCCATTCACTATAATATGAAAAATAAATGTCAATGCCAATCGCACTATGCGACTGCTATCCTTTGACATTGTTTGTAGCGACCGAGAAATTTTAAATAATATAAAATTATTATCTCGAAAAACGTGTCGCTAAACTTTAACCCCAAATTTTAAAGTTAAAGCGTCTTCATCTAGCCGTTGTAAAATCAATTTAAAACTATTCAAGTCAAGTCCAATCCCGAATAATTTTAAAGTATCCAATCCCTTATCATTTTAAAGTCCAATTATATTAGTCCAAATCTTGATTTTAGTCCAATCCACTCAAACCCAATTAAGGAAAATCTTGTAGCCCAACTTCTTGGCCCAATTAGTCTCCTAGAAAATTGTGCCCTAAATTCCTACTGTTCATATAACTCTCGTTTTCACTCCTCACAATCCCACACTTCCCAGCAACCAATTGGTAAGAAATTTCACCTCCCTAAATTTTTCCATCTATGCAGTTTCACATATGGGAATCTGATTGATGCTAGAATCTCGATTTCTAGCACCAACAATATTTCTCTCAAATTGGAAAACTCACGTTGAGGCTGAGAGCCTCAGTTTCCATCACCAAACTCATTTCACCCAAAAATTCAGCCAAAACCCACCACCATTCGAACGGTCCAGCAGAACACCCCAGCTGCAGCCGTCCAACCCTCAGTCCATGAACCACCACGCCAACACCACCATCTCCCAACACCACTACCACAACCGCCACTCCCTCACAAGTAGCCAACTCCTCCAAAATCCAACCAACAACACCCCAGCCAAAATCGATAGCCTTCATCCACTCAAACAACCACAAAAACCAAGAAAATACAATACCCATAAACTTACCGTAGTCTCCGACCCATTTCCAGCTTGAATGCCACCAAGAAACCCAAAAACCGAACCCTCCAAGCCTCGATTTAGCCTGGGTCCATACACCAAATTTCCCCAGTCGCACACACTCTCGCACGGCGCCACCACGTAACGTTGGCGCTGGCACCGTCGGTCAAATCGAAGGAAGGGGCAAGCCCCTTCCCGTCGCTGCTCTCTCTCGCCTCTGTTCGAAAATGAGAAAGGGAGTGATATTTTATTTAAATTGATTTTTTAGAAATTGCCCTTAAGCACCAAGTTTTAAAAGTCGTTTATTTCAGTCCCAAGTTTTCAGTTATTAATGATTCAGCCACTGGAGTTCCCATTTTTCCCACAGTCAGTCCACTTATTTGAAAAAGTCTATTTCAGTCATCAAACTTTCAATTTCAATTTCATAAATTTCCAATTAAGCCCCTGAACTTTATTTTATATCATTTTAAATTATTATTTCAGTCCTAAAGTTTCAGTAATTAGTGAATTAGTCCATGGAATTCTTGTTTCCCACTATTATCCCCATTATTTTGAAAATCTTATTTTTAGTCCTTAGACTTGTCAAATTTCAGTTTTAACCTAAATCTAATTAGGTCCCTAAACTTTATTTTATCACTTTAAAACCTTGAATTTTCGGAATACTAATTCAAAACTTATTTTCTATTTTGACTAGACGAAACGTACGGACGAATAAGAGATTAAGATTACTCTCCACTCCACTTTTTACGTGACTCGAGATAATTTGAGGTGGACTCGCCACCATTAATTAATTTAAATTATAATTGCATATATTATGTGAATTTACGTGATTTATATGCTTTAATACATAAGATGAGAATATTTCTTATAAGATATATGATGTTATGCTTGTCACAACCTATATGCTTTAATGCATGAGATGAGATGAGTATCTTTTATGAGATAAGATTTTTTTTTTTTTGGATAGGTAATCACGCAATTTTATAAATAAAATCTTTTATGAGATAAGATGATACCGTTATGCATAACTTATGTGCATAAATGCATAAAACGAAACTACCCACACCCTATGATTTTAAAGAGCCTATGATCTTTAAGAAAATGAGCCAATGATGATGATGATATCACGGTATATATATAGCATAATTATGTGATCAATTATTCTGTAAATTAATTATCGGCGAAGAGTTTACTGAGTATTTCTTCGAAATACTCATTTCGTTATTTTAACGACATTTGCAGATTTTGGTGATGGTTGGATTTTATGGGCAGTGGTGGCAACAATTTAGTGAATGTTGTTATTTACTTATGAAATTTAAGTATTTGNCAACGATTTAATGGATGAAGCTACTTACTTTTGAAATTACGTATTTGAATACTATTAACGTATTTTGTCATTTCGATTATTTCAAAAACTCGAGATTTAAAGTTAAATCAATTTTCTTAAGTTAATCAAATGAGTTTATTGCCGTTAAAGTTCACAATTATTAAATGTGATGTTTAAAAGTTAGTTATTTCCGCAAAACTTTTTAGTTAAATTAGGGTAAAAGACGATGATGTGGCACTCCGGGTTCACGAAATTCGGGGCGTTACATTGTTGATTCTAATCATGCCTTGGATAGCCTCAGTACGAACTATGAAAAGTGGCTCATACGAGCATCTCCAATGGTCCTATAAATTAGATTTAAATTTTGATTTAGATCTCAAAGTGACCGGAAACCTCTCCAGTGGAGATATGCAAAGGAAATGCACATTGCATTTTCAGGACGAAAATGTAAAAAAAAAAATATAAGTTTAAATCTTTTTTTAGATCCACAAGAGGCAAAAAACTACCAACCCACTTGCAGCCAATTTGTTTAGAGCTTCCTATTGGAGCAGGATTTGGATTTGGATCCAGGAGGATATAAATGGGAATCCAAAAGTGGTTTCAGAGATGCCAATTTACACTTAATTTTACACCACTATTGGAGATGCTCTAAAACCATTAGTTTGCTTTACGAATGAATATTGAGAGATTTTGAGTGGTTACTGTAATAATGCATGTTCAGCATTAGTTGTGAATTATATTGGAGTTATAAGCATAGAATCGGAGTCATAACGAGTAATTATGAATCAATCATGACATCCTATTTTATTGGTTTCCATCTGAAATATTATGTAGAAAAAGAACAATTTGTGCATTTCAAGTGACAACCAAGTTATGTCCATCGTCGAATCTCTAATTTAAGAAACCTTAATAGGATGATCTATGTAAAACTTGAGTGATTAATTGAAAGATGCATAAAAAACCAATATAAAAAATGGCTTATCCAAATAGGTAAATCAATCTAATGAGCAATGTAACATACCATTGCAGCTTGAACAGGAGGAGGTTCATTTCGGACATCAAAAGGATTTGTCGGTCTCGATACATGCTGGAACTGCAAACAGAAATACTTACATTATATAAATGATGCACAATGCAGTTAACACGCCAAAAATGAAAAGATAAATCATGTAGAATTTATAAAAATGAAAAAGACAAAACTTAGAACATGATGGTTATCAAGATACCATTGGCATGTTGTATTGCACTGAAAACCCGGTGCCTTGAAAGGGACCAGAATGCCATCCTGGAACTGGAGGTGCAAAAGAAGAATAGTTCGCTGTAAATAAATCGGCAGGCAGTTCTGTTCTTCCACTAGCCTTTACTTCTGAAAATGATTGTGTTGCAACTCCAATAGAGGCTTGCATGGCCGGAGTTGTAACAAGTTGAGACATTTGAGGATCAACACCAGGAGGCCGGTGGGCATTTGCAGCAACTAGGGAATTCCATGGCTTCAGATGTCCAGAGGAGAGGTTAAGTACTCGATGTATGAAAGTCAAATATTAGGCAGAAGAAATGCCACAGAACAGGGCATACCTGATTGCTTGAAGGTCCACCAACTGACTGAGAATTAGGCGGGCCAGCAACTTCAGGGAACACCGAAGGTTGTTGAGGTTGTATGACAGGCCACTTCCCTCCAGTGGAAGCATTTTCAAATGAGTTACCTCCACTAGTTGGTAATACCGGTGCTGGCCCTGCAGGGGAGACAATGGCCGAGTTGCTGATTGCTACACCAGGATATGCAGTACCTCCATAGGCTGAACCAAATGATGTGATTTGCAAACTATCGGATGGGAAAGCTGGTACGTTGCCCGTAAGATTATTGAACATATCATTACCATGACTTCCAGCAGAGGGACCAGAAGCAGACACAGGAATAGACAACTCCGAAAGAACATCTAGCACTGAATTGGTGTTTGAAGCTGCTTGAGCTACTTTCACATCCGGCACGGAATCAAAATTTGCCCAGTTGTCACCACTAGATGTTGGCTGCATGGCAGATGTATCTGTAGCCAATTGCTGTGTTTGTAGCACAGCTGCAGCTACTGGCGGTGCAGGAGCAGAATCAAAATCAATTAATGATGTTTCCATTTTGACTTCAGCTGGATTCTTGTTTGAGGATGCCAAGCTACTAGAGGATGCAATTCTCTGCAAAAGAAATAATATGCCAATCAATTCTATGGTAGGAAGAAGAAGACAAAAAGGCAAAATAAAATAAAGTTCAAGCATTTGATACATTGCAATTATATCCAAGATCATCAGGCTAAGTGACAAGCATTCATCCGGATAAAGGTAAAGTAAATGAAGTATGTAAATCATGCGCACACATATAAAACTTTAAGCAATCAATAAACAAGAATGACTCAGCAAATAATTAAGAGAATCTGCTTCTTTCATCATGTATATGAACTCAAGAGCTAGTTCACAACTTTTCTGTAGAATATATGACATTGCATAAAAGAAACAAACCATAATTGGTTTTTAAGGGCAAATAGTATGCCATAAATTCATCTATATTAATGCAGATTAAGGTTAGCTACAAAGATAAAAAGTTTAGGATAAAGAAACAAGTGTAGCGATGAAGTTTCACGGAGAAGAATGTTACCTGAGTATGGATAGAACCATCAGCTGTCCTGCCACCAGTGGCATTTGGAGGTTCAGCTACCCGAAGTGGTGATACATTCTCTCCCAAAATCTCTCTAATAGGAAGGACCACAGGAGGGCTGGGTGTGTCGAGATCTCTCTGACGATCAGGTGACCTAATGTCAAGCCTAGAGCCTCCATCAGAACTTCTGTCTTCAGATTTTCTTCCATTTCCAAATCTATCCTCTCGTCGCCAGTCATTAACAACTTCAGCTTGAGCAGGACTCTTTTTGGAATCACCACGCTGTCGATTGTCTCGGTCATATCCTGGACTTCTTCCACCAGAACTAGGCCTATCACTGTAATGACGCTCATAAGTATCCTCATAAGGTGGACTTCGAGATCCACCCTGATATGTATCTATCCTCCGATTTTCATTATAGTCCTCAGTTTCACCCTGAAGATACAAATGTATTTCGAGAAGTGAAGACATGATCAAAAAGTTTTAACAGTAATCATGAAGATTGAAAATTTATGGAAAGGGGTAGGTAGCATAGATACCATCTTTGCCCTTGGGGGCTTTTCAAAGCTCCTCTCGCCAGTATATCTTCTATCCACATAGACGTGTTTTATAAAATTGCGCAGTCTTTCTATGTTACTGTCAGCCAAAATATAAATCAGACAAGCATTTATTTTGAAAATTAAAAAAGATGGTGCCGAAATAATAAGAACAGCATTTTGTATGAGCAAGCTCATAATATTTGAGAATTAACCTGCCATCAGGGAGAGAATTGCGTTGAGGATCCCATTCCTTCAAATAAATTTCTCTAGCACTCTAAACAAAGAAAATTGTGTTTGACATGAGATTTTGTGTTGACAAAACTGGAAGAAGAAGACGACAAGCAGATCCCCATCGGGGAAAAGAGAGTTGCATGTGTACCGCATTTCCCCCTCCTTGAAGGGCACTAACTTCTTGTGGAGTAAATTTAGCCATAGATACTGACTTCACCCTATGAGTGAACTCTCGGCTGCAAGTATTTACAAATGTATTAGGTGTTGACAAAACTGGTAAAAGTACCTCTGAGGGAGGATATTTGACATAAACATGAAAGATACGAGCGAAACTCCTTATTACTTACTGTATCCCACTGCAGGTTGTGCAAATAAATGTAGAAAAATTAGGGCACACATATTGAGGACCCTGATAGGCAAAAAGATAAACATCAGTTCAATCAGTCCAAAATATGAAAGAATTAGAGAATGTTTGGGTGGCTTTCTATAAGCATGTGAGAGAGAAAGTATCCCCTCGCTTTTTTTTTTCTGTCAATCTTATAAGCAACCCCAGACATGCTCTTAGAACAGCGAGCTTCCCAAGGCATGTTCTATGAGAGTACCATACAATGCGAGAATATGAAGTTAAGCATGGATTAAGCAACAGGCTTAGAATGGGAAAAACATCTTTACATACCATTTGATAAAAAAAAAGAGTAATCCTGAAGTTAAGTATTGATAGAAGTTAGTTTTGAACTAATATGTATGCATGTTTGTAGCTTTACTAGACATAAAAAAATTCTCAATAGGAAGGATAACTAACAAAACTTCAATGAAATGTCAACAAATATTATGCTCATCTTGGTTGAAAATAATGTTTCTAGGATAAAACAAAAATATTCATTCAACTTCCAGACTAAAGGTTACAATCCAACAATGACAGCAGCAAATTATCCTCTGATTTCCATTTTTTTTTTTTGGCCGGAATCAAAAGATGAAACAGTCAACAGAAACATATGCGATCAAATTTGCCTTAAGACACCAATAAATCATCTTTTTTTCTTTTTTCTGGCAACTGTAGTTACCACTTTGCCAATAATAACTCATTCTTACAGTGCACAACTTTGAGATGATTCATGGTAGACCCATCTCAAATTGCTAAGAGGCCACATTTGGTTCATGCTTATCATCCTGGATAAGTCATGTGCAGATAAGTAAACTGATACTTGGCTGGGTTTTGATATCACATCATCCTATCTTTTGNGGGCTTAGCCCGCCCGCCTACCAATCAAAGAGGCTGAGAGTAAGCGTAAGCTCACCCGTAAGCTCTTCGAGCTTCCCTTCATTCGCTTCGCGGGAGCCGCACAGCACATAGCTGGAAGTCAGAAGGCCCATACTACCTGCCTAACCCTTCGCTCCGAGGGACCGTAGATCGGAAAGCGCCTTCTAATGCACCCCATTCATCCAATAGAGAAGGGAAGGGGCCTATTTATTTGAATGACCTCTGCATATTTAACCCTATCTACACCTGGAGCCACCCCCCTAGAGGTCCTGCCACCACGGTGCAGAACAGGAGCTCTTGTGGAACCTTTTATTTCTAACAAAATATTACGGCCACCTAACATAGGGGCCGGAGGTATGGTAAACTCGACCAAAATATGACACCCGAAGGGCTCATAGTAATGTCTAATATCAACTCTGTAGTGTTGAGGCAGGAACCAAAATCATTAATCGATAGACAAAATTCTGACCAAAGAACAGATGAGTGGATTGAAAAATCAATCAACCCCTTATCCAGCAATACCCCGTTGCCCGAACATGGCTCATTGGAACTGAATAATACCACTTTTATGACTGAATCAGACACCTACTCAATTTAGTTGCCTTGATTGGAATAGCAGGAAACATGAACAAGGCCAACCTTTAACTGGATTCACTCTAGTAATAAGAATGATAACTGATGAACATAAATGTCTGGTGTCTATAATCAAAAATGAGGAAAAATAAATAGCTCCAAGTCACGTTAATCCTAACAAACATGGTATTTGATATCTGATAATCCCAAGAACCAAAAAATATTGCCTAGGCACCTATGCCTGATGCCTCGAGAACAGAATATTGTCTAGCACTTTAAGCTCAATATTGGGAACACAACCCCAGCACTTGATCTGGCACCTTTGACAGCTGGCAAAAACAGTTTGAACAGCCTAAAAAAACCATAGCAAGATTTCTCTTTTCACTCATTCACTACGACAAATTCCTAGACTCCCTCCTTTAAATCTGGCAATGTTCATGCCTATAAATAGGACACATGTATGAAAGATAAGTCTTAATCTTCTTTAATACACAATGACATATACTATATATTTTCTCTCTTCCACAATGATGATACTAACTATGGCATCGGAGGGGCAACTTTCTTCAGGTTATTGGGAGCAGTGCAAGAGCTCATTCCAATGTACCAAATTTTTAGATGTCATCAAAATAAATCTATATTTCAAAATTGAAAATTTATAAGTGACTTTCGTAAAACCAAAATATTTGTTTTTTGTTTTGAGGATACAAGAAATTTTAGAAGGTCTAAGTCGATGTCACATATTCTCAGGCATAAATGTCTTATTGTTGAAATGCTTCATGATACAAACATCAACCAAATATAAGCTACTCCAATTTAAGGTATGTCGTTATAATAAAATAGAAAGTGCGATGATGTCAAACTACTTTCTTCTGTAGGGAGCCTAGCACACGTCGGGCAACAGTTTTCTTTATTAGTGACATTTTACATAAAGCTTATCTCTGAATATACTAAGAAGAGATATATTTATATCCAGCAACAACAATTAACCATGTGGGCTTAAGTGGGAAGATGTAGCCTTAAGTTTAACAAATGCCCAACTCCACGAGGGAAACCGAACAAATTCAGAATGTATATTTTGGTTAACAACCTCGAAATGGGAGTGCTATTTATTGTTTAATTGCTCGAGGAAAGTGAACAAAACTGACTGAGAACTGCAAGAAAATCTCCATGTAAACTTGTAATATTCACATGTTTAACAATTATTTATTAAAATATGAACCTAAAAATTAGTTTCTTTCGGCGGGTGGAAGTAAGCTATTAAGTCATGCATCATCTTCTTTTATTTAAATGTGCATCTTGTTTCATGACAACAAAAGAAGCTACACATCATTCAGCAGAATAACTATTGCTTGCACGTTCTCAACTTAAAGATAATATTCCTTAACTACACCTTTCATTCAGTAGATAATTAGTGCCCCATATTTTCAAATTTCCAACACTCAGATCATTTCAGAAACCTTATAACGAAGATTCCAAATGAAAAGTATCCAAATTTTTTATTTCAACATTCCTGGGCAGCCCTACCAAAGACACACAGTATTGCAAAGAGACCTTTATTCTTACTCATAGTTAATCTTCTACCATTAACTATAGGGGCTTGACCATTGTTTGTTCATTAAGAAGTGCAAGAAGTCCATTTATATAAAAGCCATCTCATTGCACACCAAAATTTGTGAGTTCAAAAGGATACTTAACTGCAAAGCTTCATGATATCAGTTATAAGAAAGTAAAGATAAAAATTACAATGAACTTGCAACCAAACCAAAATTTCCATCTCCCCACCTTCATCAATGTAAAAAAATTCCATGAATCAAGATAATCTCTTCTCGGATCAAAACTTATTTTTCTTAAGGGAACACGGAGATATTCAATCAAGTCAGGAAAAAAAAACAAGAAGGAAAAAGAAACATACCAAACTGTTGCAGTTGATACACCTACGATTCTCCGGAAGCTTGAGCAGATTCCTTATAATTTTTTCATTTTTCTCATCCTCCTTGACTCTACTCGCCATTTCAATACAATTATACAAGCCTCTCTATCTTCAAACAATTCACTAAACCTATCACGAAACAACCATTACAAAGATAAATTTAAGTAAACACAGAATTTCAAAAAGTATAACGGAAAATTCAAACGAACTTCAGATCTGGTAAAACAACAGCCATCAAAGTTTGACCAGAAGCGTGTATAACACAATTTAAAACTGTAAACAAGAAATTTCAAGTGTCCACAATCTTATAACTGACACTCGACATTTTATTAATTCTATAACAGATGAACTGAATCTGTAGAAGTTATTCACCTGATCGGTGGTGATGGAGACAGTAATTTCACGGATCAAATGAATCTTTGGGTTACGAAGCAACGGCGTCCAATCTGTACTTGTATTTGTACAGCTCCATTTGGGAAAACTAGAGAGAGAGAAAGGCAGCGCGTGTCATATATAGGAATTTTGTATGTATATTAGAGAGAGAGAGTGTGTGTGTGTGTTTAACGGAGAGAGTAACTATCGGGTGTACCGAGAATACAGGGATCTACTAGACTGCTGCAAGAGAATTGGTTTATTTGCAAAAATCTCGGTGGCGCCTACTTTGACCTCAATATTTTCAACAGTAAATAACCAATTGATGGCAACTATGCCATTGTTCTTTAACTT